TGCCTGCTTATCTCTCCATCTTGATTATTCTACTAATAACTCAAGAACCACTCACCCGATTTCAGTGAAACTTATATGTCTGGGATAATGCATAGATGATCTGATTGGGTTTTGGTTGTTAATCCGTACTCATTAATTATGTAATTTGCATAATATGTATCCAATTGTCAGCTGTTCTTGTATCACAATTGCCTCCTGACTTTTTTCACTGAAGCTTGAGCGCTTTGGTGCATAATTCATACTTCGTCATTTACTGTTGAAATCTATGCATGTTGATTACCTAATTTCACAACTTACCTAATTTATAAATTGTAATTGCTTTTATAATGGTGAAATTTTATGTCCTATTAGTTCCATCATTTGTAGCAGTAGAATACTCTGTATATGTGATTAATTAAAATTAATTTAATTCATATTAACTACCCAAAATTCCATAAATTGACCAATGGATTAGCTAGATATCTCAAATAACACTCCGATAATCCACAGACCTGATTACCGTAATTTATGTTTGAAATCCATGGTAGTAATCAACTTAATTTGCATACATATAGAGATATACATAGAGATATTTATTTCTGTTAGTATTTTACTCTTCAATATTGTGGATCAGATTTAGTTCACTTTGTACATTATCTTTAAAAAAAATTAAATATTCCCTCTTTCTATTCCAAATACCCTCAGCACAGTGCACTAATCTTCTTCGGAAAATGAAATGGGTTATTTGAATTTATCAAACTAAACTGCAACAAAGTGGTCAGAGAAGTAACTAAATATTAGAAACTCATTGGTTGGCAAATGTTTTAACAATTCATAGTGCGCTATTATTACTTGTTTTTATATGGAGGTACATATTGTTATGTCCTATAGATTGGATAGCACATGGCAATGCTATCTTTGACATTGCATGGTTGAACTCAGAACCACAACTCCTGACTGCATCTGGTGACCAAACTGCCGTCCTGTGGAATGTGGAACCAGTTGTCAAGATTGCTACCTTTGAAGGCCACAGCTGTAGTTTAAAATCTATTAGTTGCCGTAGTGATGACAAGTTTGTGTTTTCGACATGTGCCCGAGATGGTAATATTATGATATGGGACACTAGGTGTAATAAAAGAGGTGAGTGAGTCTAAAAATGACTATCAAAGGTTTGTTGCACTGGAGCTTTTCACATCTCTACTTCATTGAACTTGAACTATGCATTATTGATGAGTCATGATTGCTGAATTGCAGCCATTTTAGTGCTGAAAATTCATCAAAACCAAGCTTTTTTGCAATTCCAAAACTGGATCTTGAATGTACATAGATAGATTTCTTGGTGATAGAAACTTGGTACATACTTTGAACATTATGAGATCTTGATGCACATCATTTTGTTTTCAAGATTTGATAAAAAACAAGACTGATTAATAGACATATTCTAATATCTTTGACGTGTCTACACCAATTACATTTGAACTTAACCCATACATACTACATCAGGGATTCAAGATAGCTGACTGACACAAATTTTTAATGTCACAATCATGATAGGACTGTGTTCTGCCTTGACTTGTTTTCTTTTTGTGATTGCAGGCTCAATAAGGTTGTACTATTCATGCTTACTCTCCTTTACAGATACTCATTACACACCAGTCAATATAATCCACAGTGCACATGTCAATGTAGCCTCAACGACTCCGAAGCAACGCAAAAAAGTCAGACTTTGTAACACCAAACCTGCCAGTGATTCTCAACAGAGTGTAACTGCTGTTGTATTCCAGGATGAAAATACATTGATTTCTGCTGGTGCTATGGATGGGTAATTAATCATATCTTGCTATTTTATCCAAACATAAAATGCAAAATTATCAACCTTATTTCTTCAAATAGAAATCAATTTGTCGTCATAGTTCATTGCTCACTACCATATTCTTACTCTATGTGCTGTTGCTGTCTTTATATTAAGAACTACATATATTGTCACTAACAATGCTTTCCAATATTTTAACTCATAGGTCAATAAAAATGTGGGATTTGAGAAAAAATTACAAAAGAATGAATAAAGAGCCGATGCCTAAACATGTTTTTCCATATGCTGGCAGCAGTGCACGTAAACGAGGCAAGTTAAATAGCATACCGCACTCATCCAACTTAACATCATTAGTCAAGTACCCGCTCAAAAAATTATATAGCAAAATAAAATGACAATTTTATTTCACCATGTTCCAGATTTGGGATAATATTGCATCTTTTTCGGGAAAATAAATTGCAAAATGAATTGTGTTGTCATTGATTTCTCCCAACACTTTTACAATAAAAACACAAAAAATATACACATTTTATTTTACAATACATCAGAATAAATAATAAATAGTCTGTGGGGGAAAAAACATTGATGAATGCAACACCATGGTGTCTTCTGCCTGTTTTGCCTAAAGTAAAACCTGATATTAACCAATCAAAATGCAGTCTTGTACTTCCCAATGCCGAAGTGAATTATTGATGTCAAAGTATGATCTGTTGGAATTGATTTTGACAAAAAAATGCTTGATGAAATGTAATTTTACTTCTGTTTGATTTTTCTAGGATTTTCCAATCTTCTGTTGAATTCTACAAGGTCTTGTGTGTTCGCAAGCTGCACTGATGACATCATTTATCAATACGACTGCGCAGGACTGTGTACCTCGCCTGTAGCCCGGTATACTGGTCATCTCAATTCCACATTCTATGTCAAAGCAGCACTATCATCTGATGATAATTACCTACTTAGTGGGTCTAGTGATGATACTGCTTATATCTGGCAGGTTAGGGATGCTTTATTTATAATCTTGTTTCAATCCAATAAGTCTTCACTTTAAGTCTTTATTTGATTATGCATAATAGCCCTCAAGAGGATTGAAAAGGGTTA